AGCATGAAAACATATATCAATTGGCATTTACATTTCACTATGTCTTCTTTGTTAATTTATGGTATATGAGTCTAGAATATGTTAAGTTTACTTACCACACATTTCTTCGTCTGATCCATCTGCACACTGCTCGATGCCATCACAAATTTCATGTGTTGGTAAACAATCAGAGCAATCTCGACAAGTGAACTCGTGAGGGCAGGTGCAATCTAAAATGAGATTCATATTTGGTGGATTACATAATATACTTTCTAACAATATACATACTTAGATACACACTGAACAAAACGGTTACTAAATTTGTCAGAATTAAACAATCAGTTTTTGAACACGTATTAGATGCTTAGCTGTTTTATGTTATAATCGTATCTTTGTTTTTAATAGCATGTGAAAACAAGATTTGTACTTAGAGTTAGCAAACTCCCTAGGAAAGTCCCTATGAACATTGAAATATAGCGAAGGGACTTTCTTATTGGTCCTATCAAATTATCTAATGTTATGAAAACAATTTGCTACATTTTGTGACAATCTCACTTTCCCTGGTGTCACTTGATTTTTGACTAATTAATTCTTGTCTAGGTATGTACTATGTCTAAATTGTTGTCTGTTTTCATATTACAACATTGTTGTGACTATACAAAGAAAGTTGTAAATTATGCGTATGAAACTTATTTGCATTTGAACTTGAAGGGGTTATTGATAAGGACATTGAATATTGATAAGGACTTTCCCACGGAAGTCGCAAGTTACCCGAACAAATCTTGTGTAGGTCTGCTTTAAATAAATATAACTTACTACATCCATATTCATCACTTCCATCTCCACAGTCATCATGACCGTCACACTGATGTATGGCGGGAAGACAAGGACCGGTATCGCAGGAAAATTCTCTGACATCACAGAACTCTGTTGAGGCAATGCACAACATGAATTTTCAGTGAGATTAAAATCAACGTAATTATTCATTTTGGTAAATTGTCAAAGAAGTTAGTTATAAAAACAAAAACATCAACTTACTGCAGTCTTCTTCATCAGCGTGGTCATCAGCGCCACAGTCGTAGTCATGGTCACATAAAAATATTCTTGCAATGCATTTCTTAGATTCAGGACACTGAAATTCACCTTTTCCACACTTTGGAGGACCTAACAATGATAATGTATTCAAAATATATTCAAAATATAACACATAGCACTATGTGCTTTGTAAGTATACTGTTACTTGGTATATATGCAATGAATTATGGGAGCAAATTTGAATAGAAAATTATTAACATATCACATTAAACGTAGCTAAATTAAATGTCATTTTAAAATAATTAATAATATCAATAATATATTCACTATATTTCAAGAAAATTGTCAAACGACCCCATAATAATGAAATAAAAATAAAATAACTGCTATTCTTTAAATTGGTCCCCTAACCTACTTAACTAGGTTGACTTACCACAGCCATACTCATCCGAGTGATCATTACAGTCTGGTAATCCATCACACCGAAAGTTCTGTGCCACACAATCCCCGGATGTACATGTAAATTGGTTTTCCTCACACGTGTGCACTAAAAGTGAACCAAAAAAAATAAACCATGTCAGGTGTAAAAGTATTTCAACTACTGATGGTACTATGCGGTCTGTGTACTACATGGATAACTAGAAATTACCATAATAATAATAATAATAATAATAATAATAATAATAATAATAATAATAATAATAATAATAATAATAATAATAATAATAATAATAATTATCTTGCAAATGATATTTGAAACTTAAATCCAACAAGGACACTGATATTGACTAGTTTCTAGGGTTAGCAACATTGGAAAGGTGCAATACACAATACACCTGTAGCGCCCTCAAGCAAAGTGTGTCTGTAACGTAAATAGGTGCATTTGCAGCATCAATGTTTTCAATCTGCAGTTGCTGTTCCATCGATAAAAAATAATGTTTTTCAAGAGACATTATTGTATTCTCACTACAAACTAACAAATAGTCATTTGGAGTGGCATTGGTTTCCAAGTACTTTTGATGTCACAAAAGTGATTCATTGCTTGAAGAAGCAAGCTGTAAAAGAAATACTATTTATGTTAAAACTGTTACAGTATCTTACCACACTCTGTTTCGTCACTTCCATCATGGCAGTCGTTGCCACCATCACAGACCCAGCGACCAGGAATGCAACGTCCGTTGCCGCATGTGAATTCTCCAGGCAAGCATGTTTTCTCTGTAAAATAAAATGTACTTTTTTTTCTGTTGTGATTGTTTCTATTTTCAGACAACAAATACAGACCTGTAAATATTTTTTTAACTATGTAATTAATTACTGTCTTTTTTTCATATATTTAATTTGTTATTTATATACTGGTAGTTTTTTAAAGTGCAATAATGTGAAGTTGCATGAGAGATACTTAAAAACGATCATTATGTGGGAGCATGTCCATTATTTGGCACTTTAAATACCTGAAAATACACACCATCCAATACATCAGTTTGTATTCAGAATCAAAAATGTCATTTGAGGCCATTAAATAATCAACATTATCTTATATTCTTTTTATTTCTAGTAACACAAAATTTAAATTCTCCAATAGTATGTGTGGTTCTTACCGTGACAGGATTCACCCATGCAATCAAAACGTCCATTATTGCACGTGCTGGAACAAAGAGACATACAATGTTATATTATTGTTTCCAGAAAACACTGTCAGAATATAAATCTGTAAATGTGTCATAATATACTTAACATGAGATTGTATTAGATTATTCAAGTAATATAGGGAGACTTACCAGTTCATACAGTTTGCATGAATTACCGTGCCTTCTGGGTAACTGGCCCCATTATGCTTGCATGGACATTGATCAACTGGGATACACGCGTCGCCTAAATAAAGAAATCAGTGATGAATTAAGTATTTTGCACTGAGGCATTTCTGGGACATTTTTTATTGATTGACATATTCATTCTATTTGTCACTTGCTACTTGCTCTAAGGCTAAACTTTGTTCATGGTATTTTGCTGTAAACCATAATTGTTGATTATTTCAAATTGGTCATTGTTATATACATCTTTTTTACATCATATAAATTTGTACAAATGTAATAATTGATAATAATTGTGTCATCTGACTCAAAACTGAAAATTGCATAAACACAGTAACAGCACTACCATATATGGTCATATGACATGTGAAATGTGAATGTACCTTGTGACACAGTTCCTGTTGGACAGTGGCAACCTTCAAGGCATCCTGAACATGCATCTGGCAATTCCTCGTCTATATCATCACAAGTGGGCTGACACATCGGTCCACACGCCTCGTAAACATACCCTTCTTCGCACTGTATAGCTGAAAATGACATATAGCAGGTTTTACATGGGTGATTGGGGTTACGAGTGTCACAACAATAATCTAATACCGGTATATACATGTACATTGATAGTATGTAATATATATTTATCTTTCTCCATGGATATTAATAGATGACATTGTCATATTAATCAAACATGTATTAGAACCTGTTTTGTAAAACCAGGCCTCGATTATTGAAGTGAAAAATATAAATGAATCGAAATAACCACTGATATATTTTGGAATTAGATTTTATAAGATATTATGTACTATTGACAAAGTGCTTGTGTGATGTCAAAATA